CGGCAGCGGCAGCGGGTGGCCGTTCACCAGCAGCTCGGCCGGCGCCTGGTCGCCTGCGCTGGCGTTGGGCCCCGACGGGGACGAGCGCACCAGGATGGTGCGGTCGTCCAGCACCAACTGCACCTCCTGGGGACAGCCGACGCTTGCAGGAGAACGCTTGCAATCGGTATTATTACGATTCTTTTAAAAATTGTTCGTCGTTTACGCGACACGTGTCTTTGGCTCTTTTTGGCCATTGAGCATACTAATAATCCCCCGTAGCCGATCCGGTGGCCGAGATCGCTTAAGCAGTAGTGCCGTAGCGATCGCGGACCGAAGGATCGCGGGTTGGTGTCCCACCTCGGGCATAGTTGTATTGTGTTCGTCCTTTCACCCCCTATCATCATCATGTCGTGTCATACTGACAGTTACCATACAGTTACAAGCACTAGTGGCCGCTAATGACCTAGAAGTTTATGCGACCTTAAATAACAAAAAAATCCCCCGTTAATTTATTTTCGGTTTTCTCGTAACGTCGCTGTCCGTCAATGTCTCTTATCCCTTCGGCCTGGGCTGAAGGAATTGCTCAAGCAATTCCAGACACCACGGATTCTCGGATGGGTGAAGGCCTGAGAACCCCGGTTACTAACGGCGCCCCTTCTGTGACTTCATGAAGCATGGTAAAGCAATTCGACCAACGACGCCTGCAACAATGGAGATATATGACTTCTTGATCACTTTAACTGAGAGTGCCTAATGGGGAAGGGTAAGGCAAACCTCTGTTTCCACACGGTATCCCGCCGCAGAAGGAAAACTTTCATGACGTCTACATATAGAGACACGCACATAAAGGAGAGACGAACGTGTTTTACGACAAACTTTGTTTTCGGCCCGAAAGCTGCAAGTTATGGGGATGATCGCTATGCGATTGAAACGATCATAAGCTGAATAAAAAGTATTGATACCAGACCAGAATATATTTATTTATTATCATAATAAAAAGGTATTTACCTCACCAGCGATCTAATTAATTTTAATGTTAACTCAGTCAAATTAATTATGTCTAAAGATCTCTTGACTAGCAATGTCATCAAGAATTATAATTAATTGCCAACATTATGTAATTAGTTCTTGAATTTTCACGCAATTGTCGGTCTGGTTGAGGAAGTGCTGCGAAAATTCAAATGGCAAATAGGGATTAAAATCGTGCTCACTGCAGTGATCATTTAGTACGGTTAATTTGAAACACTTTTCTGTCTTATGGCATCCACTTTTATTTACTCAATTGTACAAGTAAATCTGCATGCAGAAAGCAGTCTATAAAAGGGAACATTCCTCCGGCGAAACGAATTCATTGTGTCCATGCCAAAAGCACATGTTAATAGAATACCAGCTGCGTATAATTACAAGTGTGTGTGTTACTAGTGTTTATGTCAGTGTTAAATGAACATATCTCTCGGCTACTGCCCAGAGGATCCATTGATAATCTATTTACGTAACCTCTATTGCAGCTACATTTTGTCATTTTATACGCTTTGTTTTATTTTCGTCAAAAAACAGTAGAAACTGTCTGAAGCATCTGGACAAGAAATTCCTTTAAATGATATCCCCTCGGTGTGATCAGTTGCTATATGCGGATGTTGGAGAACTGACTCTCTCGATGTAAACGGAATATACGATAGAGTATCTGTAGATCCTGTCGTCAATAATCTGATTCTTACGAATAAAATTCCCATCAAATGAATTCTGAATGTAGTTACCTCGAGAAAATAGGTATTAATTTGGAATCCATTTATTATGTATTCATTATAAAATATAATATTTTAATTACATTGTTTCTGCTCAAGAGGAATAGAAGAAAAAACCACTAAAGAGTACAATAGTACTGGTTGCCTAATTTGGACTAATAGTCTCCCAAGTTGGGCCCCAAAAGAAATGCACAAGTGATAACAAAAAATTGTAAAATGAGTATGTTTATTGGAAGTAACATTACTACAATATAGACTATAAAGAAAAAAATACTGAATTCGGTGAAATGACTTGTTGGTGGCTGACAAACACTGGTATCACTCAGGCGGCAGACTTGTACGACACTCAGATATAAATGTTAATCCCATGGTATGACAAATGCCTCAATCCTGGTAGCGATTATGTGGAAAATACTGTAATAGGTGCTGATTCTGCTTAAATAATTTTTTTTCGTGAAATTCTTTTTACATACTAGGGAAACACACATTCAGGATGTGCCTCGTAGTATTAGATGTGAGGTAGGAATTTTAGAGCTTAAGAAAAGGTGCAGAGTTTGCACTTCCCCTATAGTAAGACACATCCAATTTTTAACTATTTTTTGACGTTATAAGTATAAAAATTAATATAAGAATAAAAATAAAATGCATGAAAATAAAATAAATAAAATAAAAATGATTAAAAATAAAATAAATACAAATCAAACAAATATCAATTAAAACAAATAAAAACTAAACAAAAAAATATCAAACAAAAAACTACATAAATAAAAATAAAACAATTAAAACAAAAACCAAACAAATAAAAATCCAGTGTATTCTGCAGCTCACCCTGTGCCCGGCACGTGGCTCCCGCACAAGGACGGTGAGGTGGGGGCCGTCGGGCCCGTCGGGGCCTTCGGGGGCCTGGGGATCTTGCGGACTCGTGGGCGCCACCGTTCGCAGCGCCACCCGCCAGCATCCGCCCACGTGCAGAGGGTAGGTGTTGTTGTCGAAGGAGTTAACGGCGTCCACCTCCACCACGCACGTCGCTGCAAAAGAGACACAAAAAATACGAAGGTCCGCTTTGCTCAGAACGTTAACACCGACAAAATATAACGATGTACGGATCAATGGGAGAAGAAGGGGAGGCTGGAACTCCGGAATGCGTTCTGACATTTTCTACTTGGTAATATAATTACTAAGTAAAATATATTTTGATGTTTGAGACAAAATATAGCTTTTGAGTTCATAGCTACGAGGAAATCGATTTTCAAATTACTTACTCTTTCAAGAGGCGCAACACCGCTACGAAATTGCTCAGATTAGGATCTCGGAGCGTTTACTACTTTCTCTTGTATTAATGCGAAATATCTCGTAGGGCTTCTGCGGCTATTGTAGAAGCACGTTTCCCATAAAACAGGCCTGCACAACGCCTGCTCCCGCGGCATTCTGCCCTTAAGAGCCAGCCGTCTGCACGCGAGAGCGGCGAAAGTGCAAATGGCGGGGAGAAGACATATTTGCGGGGAGGGGAGAAGTCGGTGCGGGGCGACGCGGCGCGTAGTTGAATGCCTGGGCTTTTAATGCAATGATCAACCCTGTGAAATTATTTCCCCACTTATTTAAATGGACAAATCGTGAAATAAGGCCTATAGCGGGCAAATAATTTTACGGCGTATATCATTGCATTAGAAATAGAAAGCAAAGGGCTTATTTTTTATAGGATGTCGTAATTTATTATGAATAAATAGTATTCGTTGATTTGGAATTACAACCATATAAAGCACTCTTGTCATAAATTACAACAAAAATAATCATGATTTTTAAGAAAACTTTTTTTTAGTTTCGACGGAACAATAAAATTAACAACATAAACAAATCTTATAAATTAAAAATAGTTAATTAAAGATACTTTATTACTGTCATAAAATAATATTCAATATTACAATTTTATATTTTGCAGCACGCTAATTTTGCGATTACTCGAAGCGAAACGAATTACATTTTTTGCCCTACGAGCAATTATAATACTTAAAGTATCCAAATCAAATATGTATGTCTAATCCGCTTTAAGTTCATACTGTAAAGTTCCCCCCACAATAACTGGCAGGGACACGTGTTTTTTCTGATACAGCTTACAATTCTTGAGTCTTCATATAAAGAACCTCCAAAAATCAAAATATCCTTTTGAAACTCCCAAAGCCTCGAGTTCGTTCCGATGGAAGGAGGAATATCAATTTTAGAGAAATTTGGCAGTACGGTTTACGAGCTAGCGTTTACCACGTTAGGTGTTATTTTTAAAATCTCACGTACAGGCAGACAAACGTTTTGCCTTTCATTTATTTTTCGGTAACAACATAGATTCCGGCTACAATACATGATAAGGGAAGTCATTTTCTTCACACAGGAAAATAATTTATCTGTTTTTTCGTTACCAAGGCCCGACAATAAGAGATTTTCTCCATAATTCGCCGATTTCCGGCACACGATTACTACACCCTTCTCCTTACATATGCATAATTAAGAAGGTAAAAAAACAATATGATGGAAATCAAAGGAAAGGAAATGATTCTCTCAAAATAATCATTGAAAACTTCCCAACAGAACAAGTAACAAACTTTAAATATCTTGGATGTACTATACAGAATGATATGCAAAAGAAAATAGAAAGATTTTTATATTTATTAAATAACTTTTTGATTTCGATTCAATTTCTCATTCGTAAATTGAAGCCGCATCAACAAGAAATTTATTAACATATTAATTAAATGCATGCTTAGCATTTGCAGGTGTAAAGGAGAAACCTTTAACTTTTCCTAAATAAAATAAATAATTTTCTTTTTAAATAAACAAATAAGCACATTATTTTTAATCATTCAACTTAATCGATTATACGTAGTTTCTTTAATTTTATCAGTGTAATATTTTTAAAATATCAAACTTCTAGTGGGGACATGAATTCATCGCAACTTGTATATGTTCGTGCTGCACCAATACATTAAGCATTTACAATTATCGAGTTGACGATGTAATAGCTCGGAAATTGGTGAGTTTTAAGGTGTTTTGTCGATATTTAAAATGTTTAAATGGTAAAAGCAATGCCATTAGACTAGATTCACGTTCGTGAATTGGGATATTTGTTTAAGTCCTAATGTCTTTTTTTAATGTGCCGTTATGCCGCTTGCAATATTAATATCGTGCCTTACAATGATATCTTCATAAGGAGGGTAACAACATTTGAAATTGAAATTTTTACCAGAATTTTCATAAATCGCAATTCCGTCTCATTCAGTTTGTTTGAGATACGTAGATACCCAATTTTAAAAGAAATATTCCTTACCCCGACTTCAGAGCGTAGACTATGTATCTGAAAGGCGTTCGAAAGTGAGAAATGATTCATGATTTGGGCGGCATTCATTCAAAGGCAATACTTTTTGCTGCAGTTCGCTTCGAGCCGTCGCGGAGTCAACATCGCGCTGAGCTGTTCCGAACAGTGAAGTGTCTGCCGTTAAGGCTTGTTTAAGTTATTCCAAGTGTACAACGTATTTTCATCAATTGGACTGTCAATTATTAGTGCTACCAATTACAGTACTAAATTCATAGACCATTTAAAGTGATTTAGTACCCAGCAACCCTGGCCAAGGGCAAAGCATAGCCGGCGCCATGGCCGCTCTGTATAATCCAGACTGCGCCAGGGACACCTCATTCATCAGGACGCCGCTATCCCATGGTGAACATCAAAGAGGTGCTACACAACAAGCTAACATTGGTCTTCAATATGCTATTCTCAATCAACACCCGCCGCACGCGGGAGTCCAGGAAATTCCAATTCCGGGAATTCAGGAACTAACGACAAGCCACGTTACTAAGGTCAGTGCTAGCAAGCGGCCAGCGACTCAGCCCAAAGCGTAACAAAAACAGTAGGTGAAAACCAAGTTACTGCGGGCAGGTCAACATATAGCGGAATTAAAACAACTCCGGAAAACTCCTTCTTACAGAATTAGAATTAAAAAGAGATATCCATACCTTGCATTTCTAATCAAATGTTCCAAAATATATTGTTTTTAGAGGTGTCTGCAAAAGATTTCCCCTCCAAATAAGTACGTAGTTTATTTTTCGGCAAATTAGAATATAAGCCTCCACAACATATGTAAAGTACTGATCCATGTATGCTTTGTAAAAATAAAATAAATTAAAAACAAAACGTGTTGTTGCAAGCGATTAGTTTCATCAACAATTTTTTCACATTTATCAGTAAATGAATCTTGCTTTAATTTTCACGCGAACCAGGGTCATCGAAATGTTACATACTCATAGCTCAACTTGCCCTTGAGAGAAAATATCATCGGTACAATTGCTTCTTGAACCAGCCTTTCGGCATAATGAACTTTGCAATATACCTTTATAAACAGTAGCCGATAAATATATAGCAATGCATGTCGTTCTATTGAATAGAGAAGATAAAAATAAATAATAAAACTTCTGTTTATATTCGCCATAAAACAACTTCTCTCGGCGTTATTAAATGTACCAGATAATTTGTTACTAATAACACTTACGGGAATTAAAATATTGAAACGGGAAGTCTGATTAGATTAAAAAGAAAAGGTTGAATATTTAAAAAACTGACATAGTTACCGTAAGACAGAAATTGTCACTGCAAAGATCCCTCGAAACTTCTAATGAACGTTCCAGCTTATTTTGTTTTGTTTTTCCAAGAAATTCTAAAGACAATAATTTCGCTCTGTCGCACCGTTTAATCGAATGGAGCACTGTTTAAGCGTTAGGCACCCTCCACATTAAGCGTATGAAGCGAACAATCGAAACGAGTCATTGCAAACCTGTCTTTTCAGTATACTTGTGGTGGAGAGCGAATGGAATGAGTGCAAGAAATAGGAGAGATTATGAGATGCTAGGTTCTAATAAACAATTAAATACCTCGAGAACGGAAGTTGATATCACCAATCCGGTTACGGAATTTTGTAGTGCATTTAAAGGGGATTTAGAGGAGGCAAATTTATAAAAAAAATTCCAACTTTTACAGATCTCATGAGGGGGAGAGTATCCCAATGTTCCAGAGCCGAAATCGGCAATTTAACAATTTTGCAACAATTTACAATTTTATAAACAAATTCGAAATATGCGCTGGAACGGTCGGAAAGGATTTGCAAAGCTGAGGAAAGGATTTGCCTGAGATGAACATTTTAATATAACAGTTTGACACAGTTACAAATTGATTGCTAAAAGAAAGAAAGTATAATTGTTGCGAAAATACTAAATACGTACAAGTCTATTGACAGTAATTCTGGACGGAAAATCTCCGCTCAGAAATATTTTTCCGTTATGAGCAGGCAAAGTCTCTACTTCGTCAGGGAAAGATGACGATATTTCCGCCTAATACTTAAACAAACAAGACCCCGCCTTCGGAGAACAGCGTCCTTTCCGCCCCCTGGGCCAATCACATCCATCACATAGGCACTAAGGTTATGACTGCTAGCGATTGGTAAACGCGCCCCTGCCCCAGATCGAAGGGTGTCCAAGTCTGTCTGCACGATTGGGAAGATATAATTTCACCTGCCAGTTGTTGTGGGGGGAACTTAACATTGTCATAAATTGAAAACAACAATTTCCAAAATATAAGGTAATGACACTTGAGATGTGAGACGGTCCGGCATACTCTCGCAATTGCTCTTTCATTATACGTTCTTCGGTTTCAATTGCACATTGTTATTGGCGGTCGCCACTCGTAGAATGAGTATTATCCCCACCCTTCCACGCGGCCCGGGATTGCATTGAAGTTGCTGGCGCGCGGGTTCCGAGGGCAATCAAAATACTGTGCATGTACTGTGTACTGTGCATGCCATATGCAATGTATTGTGCATGCCATATTAAATGGGAGGAGTTCCTCCCTTGAACTCTCTTGAAGTACCATCTAAAGACGTCTTTCAATTAGATCAACGGGATTTTTTTTCGTCCGCATGGGTCATGTCATGTCGTGCAGCCAATAACTTTCTATGGGCAAGGTTGTCAACGGTGTAGACTCGGGATGAAT